AACAATACTGTTGTAACGTGTTCTATGGTTGGTCGGGCTTTCTATGGATTATCTGGCAGAAGTAATGCCATGTTCAGTCAGCGATAACAAATTATTTTTTCCTCCAGTAATGTTTACTACAGGTTACGTTCACTTTGACGTAATTTGTAAGCTTAAGTTCAGATTTGTTTATTTGTAATGAAGCACAAAGCTCCACAATGGGCTATCTATGCTCTGCCCACCACGGGTATCGAAACCCGGTTTCTACTGGTGTAAGTCCTTAGACATGTCGCTGTGCCACTAGGGGGCCTTAAGTTCAGGAACTAACTTTTTAACATAAACTCTTGAAATTACTGTAGGCCTTATACGCTAATAACATTTTCATAGAAATTTACTTGATTTGGTAATAGATCAGACTAACTTACTGATTAACTTTACTCGACCAATCTCCTTTCATCAACTACTATTCGATCTTTCACCCGCTAGATACTTCATTGATTTCTCAATCACTTCTCAATAAATACTTCATAGACTAACTGAAAGAATTCGTATTTTCTAATAATTTACCCACCTAGATATTACTTCAAATTTCTCAGTCTTAACGACATGCGCACTTTAGGTAACGTCTAAATTAAAATATTGCTGTCAAGTTGTGTTTTTGTTGGGCTGGATCTTTTAAATTATTTTATGAAAATAATTCCATGTCCACCCCAGTTAATGATAAAAAATTAGCTTATTTCTTTCTTAACGTTTCAACAGGCTTGTACACAAATATAACTTGTAGGCCTATGTTTACAACTGATATTCAAAACGGAAATATCACGCTAGCTGTACTTCAACTAACGTAAAAATAAACTTGCCTGTACAGTTCCTCAGTTGATGGATCAAGTAACTGAATATACACGGTAACTACCACTTATCCAAATACTTCATTGAAACTGGCAGTCTATAGAAAGCAAAAATGTGCTGATTTACTGCTTGCTGAGTTAACTAACTGGCCCTCGCGTATTTATATTTGATGTTTTACTTCTATATATTCGTCTAAGTTGCTAGATTTTCGTAATGAAATATTTTGAACTTTCTAGGTCAATCCAGCCTACTTTTATGAACTTTTAGATCTTAACGTCATGTATTATGTGGTTAACATTTCAATTATAATATTGAAAATATAGTTTAAAACAATACAATTTTTTTCTGCAGCTTATTTTATATTGTATATCTTAAATTATCTACTTGTTTGAGCACTTGAAAAAAATCATTTTAACAACTTGCATAAAGTTGA